AATGCCTAACAGTGAATAAGCGCTCAAATAGATTGGGGCCAGTGTATTGTTGTTGTGTGATTGTTTTATCAGTTTGATTGTGCTCCAGACCCAGGTAAGGAGGGGCCCAGGCAGAAGACAAGGCCACCACAGCCACCTTAGCACAGGCACACTGCCCCCTGGTGCTGCTGCTGGGGATGAGCACCCGGAAGAAGAACGATTTAAGCTAAGAAGCTCACCGCAAGCCCCCATCTGCACCAGCCCCTTCCTCCCGCCAGCCCAGCCAAAGCTCCAGCCCCATCACGCCAGCCTCCTAAAGACAAGCCAGGGCTGCTGGGTGCTGGCCCCAGAGGAAGGGCCCCGATCCTGGAGCCTCAGTCCTCTCTGTTGCCAGGCAGGGCTCTGGAAGCTCCAGGCTCCTCTCTGCTGCTGCCCAGCCAAGTGGAGCGTCGGCTTTCTCAGTTTCCTCTGGAGGGTCCTGAGTAAGCAAAGTGGGGCTCAGGCTGAAACTGCGGGAGGCAGAGGCAAGGGCAGCTGTCTGTGACAAGGTGGAGGAAGCTTGCCCTCGGTTGTGGAGCACAATCAGGTCTCCCCCTAAAAGAGCACCCCAAGCAGCCCTGCAGCCTCCTCTGCATGTGGCCTTGTACCTCCTCCAAGAGGGGTTGTTCTAGTACCTACAAGGGCATCTGTGCCTCCTCCCCCACAGAGGGTACTCCGTTTCTGGGGACAGGGACAGAGAGTGCTTATAAAAACACAGGGACTCAGGAAGGCTCATAATCTCCACAAAGGATCCTAAAAGCAGCGAAGAAACCTTGTATTCCTGAAGAGGTAGGAATGAAAAGTGGCCCCTCAAAATCCTTTCGAAATAGCACAGCGGGCTGGACCCCTGAAGTCAGCTGTCCTGCTCAGAGGCAGGGGGATGCAAGTGACCTTGGAAAGACCTAGTCAGGACCGGTTGCCTGGCTCACCGTGCATAAACCACCTCTAAAAGCCCCAGATCTTCCTGACGTCAAAAGACTGTTTAGCGCAGTGCGAGGCAGGCATCAAGAAGAAATTAAACTCCAGCTAGAGAAGGAGGGACAGGAGCAGCTGGGCTAGAAAGTGGAGGCAGAAATTTCTCAAGTTAATGCTCTCTAAGGCCCCTCAGGCCACTCCCAGGTCTCTCGTCTGAAGCTATTTACTTCCAGGGGGGCAAACCCTATTGATCTTCATTCAGCTTCTGTCTGCTCCGACAAGGCGTGATGTTTCAGTGCTTCGCCAGTCACCGTGAGAAAATTCTCATTGTTTTACATGCAATGGCTCCCAAACTCAGGAGCCAAACGTTCAGGACCATTTGGGTGAACTGATGGGAGGAGATGCAGACAGGGCTGGTTTGGGGACTCTGGGGGTGGGAACCGCACTCCCCTGGGATAGACTGCCATTGCCTGCTGGGTGCCCCCAGCCTAAGCTCAGGGACTCACAGCTCTGATCTGCTCTGTCTATAGATGCTCTGTGAGTCTGGAGCTAAGCCAGCCCTTCCCTCCCACCCTCTCACTCTCCCCCACCCCCCAGCCCCCACACATGCACACACACCTGCTTTATGTCTCTGCAGTCATTTGGCTCTGAACCTCCCTCCTGTCTGACTAGAGATCACCACCATCCACTCAAGCTCCCCAGCTGCTGCCACCGCTGTCTGGTTCCCCTTTCAAATTCCAGGCTGGCCCTCTATTCTATAGTATGTATGTAACATGAAACACAACAGAGCTAACCATGAAAACTACAATGGCGCTGGCAGTCTCCACCAGCCTGTACGGAAGGGAACTCTGAAGCCACAGAATAGCCCAAACCATGATGGTCAGCCCAACAGTTTACAGATGGGGAAACTGAGCCTCCGAGTTGGAAGGAGAATGTGATTTGACCAAAAAGGCCCAGTAAACTGGCAGAAGACAGAGCAGAAAACCCAAGCCTTTTGGATCTCAGCCTAGGGGCCCCTCCACTTCAGCTTCTAGTTCATGTAACCAGGAAATCCAGGTCCCCACATGAGGTCACTGAAGCCCATTTGGCTGAGAGGACCCATGTATTAAACTGCTTTCCATGAGTTAAGACCGGCATCTATCTGAACAATAACGATAATAATAATAATAAAATGCCAAACAATATGCCTTAAAAACCTTCAATGAACAACATTTAATAATCACACGCAGAATACATCTTCCACATATTCATATAAAATAATCAATGATCATTTTTTTCCGCAGACTACAATCCAATTATTCTCCCTCCCTCACTCTCTCCCTCACTCTCCTTTGTTACTTGCAAACCATCCAAGCAATCAATGCCTTGACCTCTCCCTCTGATAGACACAATTACAAAAAGACAGAGCAATGCAATTCATCTATTCAAGACGGATTGTTTGAACACTCTGTCACACTGCTGAGCTATCCATCTCCTTGTCTAAGAGGAAATTTCAGCCCCCAAAAGAGGCACAAAGAGAAGGGGCGGTACGCTGCTCCCCAGCCCAGAGAGCCCTTTGCGCACCTGCAGGAAAACCCTCTCCCTGGCTGGTGCTCGGCAACGCCTGCCTGCTAGAGAAGGATTTGGCTCCAAGTGCTGCCGTCTCAGGCACCAGTCTCTAGAACCAGAAGCACCCTACACACTCCGGAGCCCAATTTCTAGGGCCTCAATTCCTGCAGCCCCAGCCAGCGCCCTGAGATCACAGGGGTGGGGAGGAATGAGCAAAGGGAGATGGCATTGGGCCCGGCGAAGGCTGTGTGTTTGGGTTTCAGCATGAGAGTCAGATACACACACTCTCTTTCTCTCTCTCTCTCTCTCTCTCTCTTCCTCTTTCTCTCTCTTCCTCCCTTCCTCTTTCTCTCTCCCTCTCTGCCACATCCACTGTGCCACATTTACTGTAGTTCCCTGAATCCAGCTGAGGCTTAAGCCTTAGCTCAGAAGGATGGAAGTTCAGCTCCCCAGGAAGCTCCAGAGAAGCCCAGAGGCCTCAGAGCCTTCTCATCCTCTATCCAAGCTGGCGCAGCTCTGGTGGTCACGTTTGGCATGGGCACAGCACCCCAGTCCTCGGGCTGGGAATCAAATGGGGCTGGGCTCAGATATAAATGGCCTGGGCCGACACGCTAATTAATCCTGGGGTTTAATATGAAGAAGATTAGAAGAGAAGAGGGCTTTGCCATCCTTAATTGCATTATTACACGCTGAACCCAAGAAAGGGCGGGCAGGCTTGGGGATTCCCCTCAGGGCAGTGAGGAGTCCCCCAGTGCAAGCCGATTTCACAGGAAGAGGGGGCAGGTGAGAACACATCATTCTGCCCCTCCCCGGTCTCATTCTTCTGGGGCTGCCCTCACCTGCTGCTGTCTTCCTGGGCCACCAAAGACCTCCACTCCTGAGGCTGGGCTGGGCGCATGCCCATCCCACCCCTGCAGGGGAAGGGCCACGGAAGAGGAACCTGCAGTGAGTGGACTGCGTGCATAGAGCCTTTTGGGTCCCCCTCTTTTCTCCCAAGGGCACCATATCATGCAGATCCCCCCCCCAAAAAAACAGAGGGAAGGAAGGAATAAAGGAAGCGCTGGCCCACTACTAAAGGGCTGCCTGTCCCGGGAATGGTGACTAAACTGGGCATTCAGGCAGAGATCGAAAATATTTTTGACTTGCCAGAAACACCCTAGGTTGCAAAGGGTTAAGCCTGACCGTGAGGGCTGTTCCCCGAGGCCAGAGACTGGACTCCTCTGCTTCCCGATGTGCACCTGTCAGGATCCTGGGCTTGGACTGAAAGACCCCCGCTTGGGCAGAGCTGAGGATTGTGTTCTACAGCCATCCAGGTGTCGAGCTCAAAAGGGTCTGGGATCCAGGAGAGATCCACGGAAGAGACAGACCCCAGGATTTCTGACCGCCTCCTAGGAAAATCTCAAGTACGAAACCAAGCCCGACATTGGTTCCGCGCACCCCTCACGCCTCTGGCAGCCCAGGGGCCGCGCCTAGACGAAGAGCCACAGTGGAGGAAAGTGGCCCTGGCTCGGCAGAGCTCTGCCCGCCTTGTGCAAGACGCTTGCGGTGGCGCCTCGCGAACCCAGGCGGCCCAGGTCTCCGGCCTGGCGGCGGGTGCAGGGCCTGCGTGGCGGAGGCTCCCGCGTGGCCAGACCGGGCCCAGCCTTGGCGGCCGCGAGCCTAAGACACGCACCCCTCACCCCTACAGCCCAGAGCGCTACCTACGGCGTGCCTCGGGCGGCCACAACAAAGTTAAAGCCGGGAGTAAGAGTCCGCGACGAGAAGAGACGCAGAGACGCCAGAGCCCCCAGAAAACCGCGCGCAGCGCGCCCAGCCGCCGCCAGCTGCGGAGGGATTTCGGCTAACTTTAAAAGCCACTCGCGTCCGTCTCGCTTCCTTCTGTGGCTGCGTTGGGCAGGCTCCGTTGCTCCCTTCCCCCCACCCGCGCTGCCCCAGGCGGGGGAGAGGCCCCCACCGTAAGGGGCGGCAGAAGCGACCAACCGGGGCTGAATGCGGGCTCGCGAGGCCAAGGGCGGCCCCTGGGAGAGGACACTGGCTGCCTCCATCATGCGAAGCGGTGTCGTGCGTTCCCGCCGCGGCCGCAGGAGCTATGCCCCAGGTGAAGGCAAGGGGCCCGCAGGGAGCGAAGAGGAAGAAGAAGTTGGCGCCTTCCCCAGGGTTCCCGCTCCGCGGAGGAACCGGGTCCCAGAACTCGGTCTGCGGCGGGTCCTGCTGGCAGTCGCCGGTCAATGCGCCCGCGACTCGTGTTGGGGCTGAAACGCTTCGCTACACCCCGCCAGGTCTGGCCTCCCAGGAGCGCGACAAGGGCCCCTCGCCCTCCTCGGCCCGGCTGCCTCCTCCCTAATAAGTGAGTCCCGTGACCCGGGCTTGGAACTTTGTCCTCACCGGGAAGAGCTCCTTGTGGTCACACGGCCCGGCAGCCCGGAGAGGTTGGCAGAATCTTTTGGGATCGTGTTCAGCGGCCCCATTCCCGCCCCCGCCCGGGCGCACGGAGACCCTCGGCTCCAGGGAGCCCTTACCGATCCGGATGACGTGGGGCATCCCGCGCGAGTCCGGGATCCAGAAGGCACACACGAGGAGCCCGGCCCAGTATTCCCAAACCAGACTCCGGAGGCGCCGCCAGGGAGCGGTCATCGTTGGGCGCCGCCGTGCGT